ACATGACACCGCCCACTGATGGAAACCGTTACTACTGTGTGACAGTGAAACCTAAATGATATTGCTCAATGATAGAAACCGTTACTACTGTGTGACAGTAAAACCTACATGACACCGCCCACTGATGGAAACCGTTACTACTGTGTGACAGTGAAACCTAAATGACACCGCCCACTGATAGAAACCGTTACTACTGTGTGACAGTGAAACCTAAATGACACTGCCCACTGATAGAAACCGTTACTAATGTGTGACAGTGAAACCTACATGACACTGCCCAATGATAGAAACCGTTACTACTGTGTGACAGTGAAACTTAAATGACACCGCTCACTGATAGAAACCGTTACTACTGTGTGACAGTGAAACCTAAATGACACCGCCCACTGATAGAAACCGTTACTAATGTGTGACAGTGAAACTTAAATGATATCACCCAATGATAGAAACCATTACTACTGTGTGACAGTGAAACTTAAATGACACCGCCCACTGATAGAAACCGTTACTACTGTGTGACAGTGAAACTTAAATGATATCACCCAATGATAGAAACCATTACTACTGTGTGACAGTGAAACTTAAATGACACCGCCCACTGATAGAAACCGTTACTACTGTGTGACAGTGAAACCTACATGACACTGCCCAATGATAGAAACCGTTACTACTGTGCGACAGTGAAACCTGTCCTCACTTAGTACACCACATTATGTATTAGTAACAATGTAAGGACACGATTTTAAGACACGTGTTTGTTTATACAAACCATATTCTTAAAAATTAACTGGAGAAAAATCCAGTGGAATGATAATACAGTGCCATCACAAATACACTCCAATCAAAAGCAGACAAGTACAATCTGCTAGCCCAGAAAGATGAATACGGTAATCTTTTCTAAAAGCTCAGTCTTCATATGTCTGATCAGCTCCATTTATCAGATTTAATGTCCTTAGCCTTAAATATTAATTTGTTGTTTTTGAGCGAGCAATCCCCCATAGAAAAATTATAATCTTTATATGTGAAAATACAAGACATTAAACCTCACCAATGAACTCTCAGACATCCAACCTTACCAATGAACGCTTAGACATCCAACCTCACCAATGAACGCTTAGACATCCAACCTCATCAATAACTCTTAAACATCCAACCTCACCAATAACTCTCATACATCAAACCTCACCAATAACTCTTAGACACTAACCATCACCAATAACTCATAGACATCAAATCTCGCCAATAACTCTTATACATCAAATCTCGCCAATAAATATTAGACACTAACCATCACCAATAACTCTTACACATGAAACCTCACCAATAACTCTTACACATCAAATCTCGCCAATAACTCTTACACATCAAACCATCACCAATAACTCTTACACATCAAACCATCACCAATAACTCTTACACATCAAACCATCACCAATGACTCTTACACATCAAACCTCACCAATAACTCTTAGACACTAACCATCACCAATAACTCTTACACATCCAACCTCACCAATAACTCTTACACATCCAACCTCACCAATGAACGCTTAGACATCCAACCTCATCAATAACTCTTAGACATCCAACCTCACCAATAACTCTTAGACATCCAACCTCACCAATGAACGCTTAGACATCCAACCTCATCAATAACTCTTAGACATCCAACCTCACCAATAACTCTTAGACACCAATAGTTTTTGTAATCGTATACTCATTTTACATCCACCATAAAAACAATAGCAACAACTATGATTTGTTACATTATTCACGGTTATCTCTGACAAAATGGCTGTTTTAAAAAAGGTACTGTAGTTTATATTATAGCGAAGAGCTTCTGGAGATACAGACACTAATTTAAGGTGGTCTCTAATTTCTGGACGCGGACTCGCTACATTTATAACGCCGAAACAGCATATTAGGGACATTGAATCTCTTCTGACTTACGTGTTAATGTCAATAGGCTACCAAATTTCTCGAGCAACTTATTCGGAAATTTTATCTTTATTCTTATAAATATGTCCTTACAATGTTTCTTTCGTAACTGTCAGGCTTAGAATGCGCGTTTTGGAATTGTTAAAGCTTGCAAATGCATTAAATGAAAAACTTTTGTTTCTTTGTTTCAGCGCTACACTATGGGCTGAGGGTCGCGGGTTCGAATCCCCGTCCCACCAAACATGCTCGCCCTTTCAGCCGTGGGGCGTTATAATGTGACAGTCAATCCCACTATTCGTTGGTAAAAGAGTATCCCAAGAGTTGGCGGTGGGTGGTGATGACTAGCTGCCTTCCCTCTAGTCTTACACTGCTAAATTAGGGACGGCTAGCGCAGATAGCCCTCGTGTAGCTTTGCGCGAAATTCAAAAACAAACAAACACTATGGGCTATCTGCGCTATGCCTACTACGGGTAATTGAACTCCATATTTTGGCGTTGTAAGCCTGCAAACTTATCGCTGATTCACCAGGATACCTTGAATGGAAGAGATGGGTTTAAACAATAAAGTAAACATATGTTGTTCTATCCTTATACTTTATTGATAACTTATATGTAGGAACGCACTCTAACGGCAGCTGTAGCTAAAAAATCCTGGATTTGTTGTTTCAATTTGTAAAGTTATAAAACCTTTTTGGTTTCAGTAAAATTATAATGTATGCAATATTAAACCTTGTATACTTACTGTATTTTAAGTATTTTCATAAGTGGCAGTTACTTTTTATATGGTTGGCCTTATGTTGCTTTAATAAATCATTTCTTTAATAACCGATTGTGCATGTTAAAAAAAAAAAATGCCCCCCCCCTCAGTGGCACAGCAGCATATCTGTAGACTTACAACGCTAGAAAACGGGTTTCGATACCCGTGGTGGACAAAGCACAGGTAGCCCATTGTTTAGCTTTGTGCTTAACTTCAAACAAATCCTCTTTCCTGGTATTCGAGAAATTCGTTCCCTTCATCGCGTACACCGACATTACTAGGAAAATATTTATGTACTAAATATTTGTATACTAAATTAAGAGTGCTGAGTGTAGTTTCCTGTTTACTCTATTTCAGTTTTAAGTACATTCCGAACCCATAATTCTTATAGAAATGCGGTAAAGCTCTGAACATTTCCATTTTTAAAATATTAAAATCTTCGTTTTGGGAGGGTGTGCTATAACACCTAGGCCTTAGTGTAAGTACTTTCAGGAGCGTCGAGAGCCAGCAAGGGCCCCTGGACATACATCCTCGTCGGGCCCCCTTTCTCTCTCTTTTTTTAACATTTTAAAGAACTTATTAAAACTAAGATCCTAAATTAGGACAACAACGAGCTTATAAACAAACAAAATCATAGCAGCAGTCATTTTTACCTCACAGTAGAAGCGTAAAAACGTTAATAAAGTAACAAAAAATATCTATTAAATCTATAAAGTGACAACTATATATTAATTATTACTCAAATTATTATTTCAGTCGTTCTTAATGTATCAAGCGTCTATATGCAAAGAAAAGCCAAAAACTATGTTTGTTTGTTTTTATGATTAAATGAAGATATAGCCTAAAGATGCTTTGCGGGTTTACAGCATAACCTGTTGCTCCCTTTGCCTCCCCCCTCTGTCGGCGAGCCTGAGTACGCTAATGTTTGTCTGTTGAATTTTGCTCAAAGCTACTCGAGTGTTATCTGCGCTAGCCGTCACTAATTTTGAAGTGATAGACTAGAGGAAAGGATGCTAGTTTAAACCACCCACCGCTAAATCTTAGGCTACTCTTTTACCAATGAATAGTGGGATTGACTTTCACTTTATAACGCCCACACTGCTGAAAGGACGAGCATATTCGGTAACGGCGTAACTTGTAAATATCAATTAAAAACAGAATTAAGCTTGAAAATATAATTTGTTTTTTAAAAACTAATATAAAACTAATAGGGGTATTTATTTGAAGGTTGTATTAGGTCGTCCTAAAAGTAATGTCGCGTTTTGGAACACTTTCATTAACCACCACCCAAAAAACGAACATCA